TGCTGCTTATTAAAGGCTAATCCTATCACTTTGAGTGATTGCTTTGGTGCCAAGGCAATCAAATATAAAAATAAATGCAAATGTGGAAATCGTATGATAGTGCTCAGTATTAAGGTTCTTATCTAGATGCCGTAGAAAATGTTCATACTGCTTTTTTTTTTCTTTTCTTTCTTTCTTTTTTCTTTTTCTTTTTTGACACCCTTGGTAGAGTGCCATGGCGTCACAGCTCACAGCAACTTCCAGCTCTTGGGCTTAGACAATTCTCTTGCCTCAGCCTCCCGAGTACCTGGGACTACAGGCATCTGCCACAATGCCTGGCTATTTTTTGTTACAGTCTGGCTGGGGCCAGGTTTGGACCTGCCACCCTCGGTATATGGGGCTGGCACCCTACTCACTGAGCCACAGGCACCGCCCATGCCTGGCTATTTTTTTGTTGTGGTTTGGCCGGGGCTGGGTTCGAACCCTCCACCCTCAGTATATGGGGCCAGTGTCCTACTCACTGAGCCACAGGCGCCGCCCATACTGCTTTTTAAATGACCATTAGAATGTAGACACAAAACAAAGCTTTGATACAAAAATATAACAACTATTGTTATCACTACAGGCCCAGCACCATTCTAAGCAGTTTTATGCATTAACTCATTTAAGTTATAAACAAGGACAACCCTCTTGGAGAGAAGGAATCAGACCAGCTGAACAACTAACCCAAGGTAACACAAAGTAGCAAAGCTGACATTTGAAGCCAGGCAGTCTGGCTCAGAAGTTTATGCCCTTAACCATCATATTATACAGCCAGCCTCTGAGACTATAGACTTGAAGCAGAAGACCCCAGTTTGATACGCTTGGCTGTACGTCCACAATCTGTGGGTGACAGAAGTGTGTAGTGGGGGCTGGGGAAGATGGAAAGGCTTTGACAGGTCATGAGGGAGTACTGGAGGGGTGTGGAGGGGTTGGCAGCTGACGGGCATTTGGGGGTGGCTGGGGGCATCTCCGCTGGCTCCGGCCACAGCACCAGGTGGGATCCATCAGCCTCATGTAAACACTTCTCACAGGCAGCTTAACCACTTGAGTGTGTCTGGCCTTCAAAGCCAGTGGGAGAGGCCAAGGAGGGAGGTACCAAACTCCCTTAGGGGATAATGATTTATCTCCCACGCAGGTGGGCGCTGCGGGGGCCTCCCTGAGAGGCGAGGGAGTGGACTGGCACTGAGGAGTCTAAAGGGGAAAGGCTAGGGTGGGGGTGGGGGCACCTCTACTCTAGCATCTCAGGTTTCTCATTGGTAAGCCCAAACCCAGGTGACTCTCAGAGCAAGCCTGTGTAGTAGCAAGCTCATCCCCATTTTATAGATGAGGAAACTGAGGTTCAGTGAGTCTAAGTGACTTGTTCAAAGGCATCTAACCAGAGGACAGAAGGTGATGCATCCACAGAGATGCCTGTGCTGTAGCCCTGAACACTCACTGGTTTCTGGCGTCCCTGTGTGGCATGGAGGGTGTGCAGGGAAGTGTGTCAGGCCTCTGTGGTGACAGTATATTGGGAGTGTCATAGCATGAGTGCGTGATCCATGAGTGGGAAGCAGAGTTTTCATTCTCCTAGGTTGGGCTCAGATATCCAACTTCCCAGACACATCAGGGGAGGGACCAACTCCCCTGCCCCCATCACCCCAGCCGGCCAGCGGGTCCAGGGACCTGGCTCTCGCTGGGCTGGGGGATTATCCCCATTCTCTGTGTCTCTGGCCAGGGCGGGCATTGCTACCTCTTTTATCCTCTCACAAAGGCCAGGCCCGCCGGGCCTGCTGTGTCAGAGTTTCTGTGGCCGGGGGAAGCCTTACTTCCTTTTCTCCCGCCAAGCCCAGAGGGCCGTGCAGAGTCTGCCAGCTTGCCGGGGGCCACTGCTCTAGCTCCAGGACAGGTGAAAGGCTCATGGGTGACTCAGCACTGGGAGGAGAAGGCTGAGGGGTCACTCATGGAAGGACAGAGAGAGACCTCCTCTTCAAGAGACATGATAATACTGCAGCATGAGGTCTGTAGGGTAGACTTAAAGAAGGACTTCCAGTTAGAGCTGGTCAATATTAGCCAGGGGTGGGGCCAGCTGGCTCCCATTATTGAGAAATAATCAGTGATCTATAAGTTTGGTTGTGTGCCCACCATATTCTGGCTACTTGTGGTAGTCAGCTCTAGTCCCAGGTTAGGGAATTCTGCAAGAGAGGAAAAGGAGAAGATTCCTTCTAGAATGTGGCTAGGTGGGTCACTTGAACTGTCCTAACATTCTGAGTTCTCACAGTCTTCTGGGTAGGAGACCACATGGGAAGATAGGAAGCATGGTGGGGGCACATGGTACCACACAATTAACCCTTCTCTCTACTCCACCCACAGGTTGCTTTTTGGAGAAGTCCCTGCTAAAGTGGCAAAGAGATTTCCCATGTGACACTCCAAGGTGCCTTTGAGGAAGGCTGTCTCTGAGGACCTCCCTTTGAGCCGATGGAGAACTGGGCTCCCCACGCCCTCTCTGTCCCCAGCTGAGATTATGGTGGATTTGGGCCATGGCCCAGGCCTGGGCCTCCTGCTGCTGACCCAGCCCCGGAAGCGTTAGCAAGAGCCCTGTGCCATCCACCCTCCCAGAGACCACCCCTCCTCCCAGGGGCCTGGAGCTGGAGAGTGACTATGCGGCTTGGGCTGTGTGTGGTGGCCCTGGTTCTGAGCTGGACACACCTGGGCATCGGCAGCCGTGGTATCAAGGGGAAGAGGCAGAGGCGGAGTGAGTAATGGAGCAGGCGGCCGCTGCTGGCCTGGGGAGTGGGAGGGGGCCAGCGGGAGGAGAGGGCCTTCAGGGGGTTATTCTGTGATGACCCTTGCAGATTTCCACTTTGTCTGTTACAACTTTGTAGATTACTCAGTAGATGACCCTGTTTGTGTATCACCCAGTTGGTGGATTAATTTGTTGAGATTACCCACTGTGTAGATTACTCACTTTGTCTATTTTTCCCTTTGTAGACTCTGCTTTCTAGATTAACCCCCCTCTTGTGAGGATCCAGGTTGTGGATTATGCCCTTTGACATAACACCAGCTTTGTGTGGTATCCATGGAGATGCTTCCCTGGCCCCCACCCCAGTGTGCTGAGCTCTCTCACCAGAGGAGTTCAGGGTTCCTTTCTTTTAGTGCTGGCTGACCTGCAGCCCTCAACCCCTCTGGGCTGAGAATTCCATGCTGTAGCTTGGCAGTGGGCTACAAGGCTTCCCCTGCCTGGATCATGGGGCAAGGACAGGGAAATAGGGAGGGTTATGAGACTATGGGATTCAGGGAGGGGCATCTGGGGTTAGGGGAGTCAGGTGGACAGGGCTGTGGCCCTACCATCCTTCAAACCCAAGCGGCTTCACTTTTCCCTGTTTTCAGTAATGAGCTTCCACGTGTGATGTCACTGGAAGAGAGGAGTCCCATAGTTTAAAAAGAAAAGTCCTGCCATTGTACAGATGCTAAGAAAGGGGAAGAAATAGGCCTCAAGACACACGCAGTCAGTGTTGGAACCAGGTCTCCTAAAGCCTGTGAGCCCAGTTTTCTTGAGAAACAGAGTTCAATAGAGGGTAAGAGTAACCTGCATCCACCCCCTGGCTAAGGGCTTCTTAGTCTGGTTTCTGTCTCCAGTGATGGGGTCCCATATGTTATGTGAGCAGCATGGGAGAGACTCATGCTAGGGGGAGAGTGGGAACCCTAGAGTCCCCTTTTGATGTCCCCCCTCCCAAGAGATGCCATCCCCATAGGCAAGAGGTCTTCCTGAAGTCTAGCTCAAGTACCTCTTTCTTTCTTTTCTTTCTTTCTTTCTTTTTGAGATAGAGTCTCATTTTATCGCCCTAGGTAGAGTACTGTGGTGTCACACAGCTCACAGCAACCTCCAGCTCCTGGGCTTAGGCGATTGTCTTGCCTCAGCCTCCCAAGTAGCTGGGACTACAGGTGCCTGCCGCAACGCCCGGCTATTTTTTGTTGTTGTTCTTGCAGTTTGACCGGGGCTGGGTTTGAACCCACCACCCTCGGTATATGGGGCTGGCGCCCTACTCACTGAGCCACAGGCACTGCCCAAGTACCTCTTGCTTCACATTTCCCTTCTCCTTCAGCCAGAGGCCCACCAATGAAGGCTGAAAGGCAGTAGAGTTCTGTTGGGTTTCCACGGGAGCAGCCAAGGCCAGAACTTAGCCTGGGGAGAGAAGCTCAGAGAATTGGTGAAGCTGAAAATCCCTGGCTTAACAAACAATTAGAGACGGTTAGGTTTAATCAGCAGCAAGGCCTTGATTTCCCTCCCTCTCATCGGTTGTGGCAAGTATTTTGGACTCCATGGGCCAGATGCCGTTTAGCCATTTATAATCAGTCTCCTCTATTTCCGAAATGAGAGAGAGAGGGTGAAAGCAACCATTCGCGCTCATGCGACATGCACGAGTGGTCACACTTATGCTCACACATGCTGAGCCACACACCCACCCACGCTGGGGGTCATAAGACCTGAGTTCAAGTCTGTTGTACTGAAAAGAAAAAAGCACTAGAGTGGGCGTCGGAGAGGGCTTGGTGTCACTGGTCTTAGCAACGGCCAATCTAATGCAGCAATTTTGATGTTCCTGCTTTCATAAGGCCACATCTAACAGCTTTGGCAGCATGTGAACCAGCTTTTGCTACTAAGTCATGTGAGTAATAGACAGTCTTGATGGTGACAGTCAAGAGAGAGGTGAGGTGTGGGGAGAATCAGAGGCATGTAGTGAGGGTCCAGAATGGACAGAGGCTTGGGGAGAGATGAGATTCTTAGTGATACTTGTTACATAATAATTGTAACAGTCACAGTCACAAAGCTGAAATGTATAGGAATATAATAAGGCTGACATAGGTAATAGATATGCATTTTTAACAACCTTTGTAAAACGTCAAGCTCTGTGTAGACTTCAGGATGCAAATCATTGTTATATGAACAATGCACAGACCATTTTGCCCTAGGATCTCTGGGGGAAGTAGGGGAGGGAAGGGAGAACCAAGACACCTGTGTGTGCCTGGTCAGGCCTCTGGACAGTGTCAGAGGGTGCAGGGTGGGCACAGGCGTGGGGCAGACTTGGGGCACAGGTGGATGTGCTGCGCATCTGAGCCTCAGAGCCTCAAGGCTGTTGACTTTATCTGACATCCCTCAACTGCAGGTCAGCAGGGCTGTCAGAAAACACTTAATATCATTCTGGTCCTGAGCTGCACACCAGTTTTGAATCCAGAAATGTCCAGTCTCAGGGTCTGAGTGATGGTCTCCCTGCATGGACCGGGGAGAAGTTGAGCAAAGAACTTCTCGTTAGCTTTGAGTTGTGAAGTCTCCTGGCAAGGCCATGACTGCCCCTTCCTCCTCTCTTCTCTTCCCCCTCCTTTTTCACTGTCTGATCCTCCCCTCTTCTCCTCTCTCTGCACCTCCCCTCACTAAGCCCTGTCTTCTTCTAATGAACCCCCAACTCTTTGGGTACCTTTTCTATCTGGGGTCCCTGTACCTCCACAAGCCTCATCCCCTCACCATCCCTTTCATGGAGCACTCCCGTTCCTGAGCTCTTTCTCCTCTCTAATTCCTAGCCCCCTCAGTCCTGCCCCCCAAAGGCCCCATTCCTTCACTGAACCCTGACTCCTCTGGAGCTATAATCCCATTTTGACCCTTCTTGCTGCCCCGTGCTCCCCTGCAGCTTCTAGCCCCTGCCTCGATGAACACCCTTAGGTTCCCTCTTCCCTCACAGATCCATTCATTCTTTGGGTCATTCAGCAAATGTTCCCTGAGAACCAATAGAGCCTGCCTTGGATTACAGAAATGAATTCTGAGGAGCCCACAAGGCAGTAGGGGGCAGTGAGTCCATTTCAACCAGTGTCCAGAATGCTGCGACAAGGGTCAACCCAGGGGCCTGGAAGAGCCCAGAGCAGCTGGGAGAAGGCATGGGGTATTTATTTGGGAGGTGGGGTGCTGCTAGGAGTAGCTGGGGAAATGATTTATTGATGGGGTTTGAGAGTGGCCTAGGATTTTAACTAGAGAAGCTGTGCTTATATCTGTTTCATACCTTGGGGATTTTTTTTTTTTTTTTGTAGAAACAGAGTCTCATTTTATTGCCTTCAGTAGAGTGCTGTGGCATCACAGCTCACAGCAACCTCCAACTCCTGGGTTTAGGTGATTGTCTTGCCTCAGCCTCCCGAGTAGCTGGGACCACAGGTGCCCACCACAACGCCCGGCTATTTTTTGTTGCTGTTCAGCCAGGGTGGGTTTGAACCCGCCACCCTTGGTATATGGGGCCAGCGCCCTACCCACTGAGCCACAGGCGCTGCCCACCTTGGGGATTTTTTCTATGGAAAAGAATGGTTCTGCTGCTAAAACAAAAAGCTCAGTGCTCCTTAGGATAGAGCAACAAAAGCTGCCTGGAGCCAAAGGAAGGCTCTTGGTAGAGGTCAAATCATCAAGCTCTTGGTACGCACCAGGTTGAGAGTTCAGACTTGGCCTGACTTGAGCCAGAGTCTCACTCTGTCACCCTGGGTAGAGTGCCATGGTGCTGTCATAGCTCACAAATCCAACCTCCAACTCCTAGGCTTAAGCCATCCTCCTGCCTCAGCCTCCCAAGTAGCTGGGACCACAGGTGCCCACCACCATATGCAGCTTATTTTTCTATTAGTAGAGATGGGGTTTTGTTTTGCTCAGGCTGGTCTCAAACTCCTGAGCTCAAGCAATCCTCCAGCCTTGGCCTCCCAGATGATTACAGGTGTGAGCCCCTGTACCCGGCCCACTGGGAGGTTTTAATCAGGTAATCAGGGGTACACAGGGTCCAACTACAGTAGAGGGTGAGGGGAGGTGGCAGGAGACAAGCAACCTAGTTAAGAGGCTGTTTTGACTCAGAGGAGAGACAGTCAAAGTCTAAACTAAGTTCCTAGTTGAGTTAAAGAACCCTGGGTCTTCCCCAGAGGACATGTCCAGGGCTTACCTAATGTGCAGGGAATGGCACTGAGTCCCAGGAAGTCACAGGAACAGACAGCTCCCAGGACACCATGTTGCCTGACAAGCCTCTTGCCTGCCCCTTTCTGAGGCCTCACTCCGTGGCCTCCTAGCCCTGCCAAGTGCACTCAGATCCGTCTTACCAAATCTAGTTTCTTCAGTGCTAGGATCCACCCCAAAACCAAGGTCATTATTCCCTGGGGTCAGGGTGAATGTCTTCACTCCCCTTGACCCTAACCCGACCTTCCCTGGGTCTCCTTCCTATCAACTCCAGTCTCTACCCTTTAGTGAATGAATGCTCACTGAGATCTATCCACACACCAGCCCCCTTCTTGAGCCTCTGTCACTCACCGTACCCTCAACCTTACATCCCAGGAGAGCCCTGTTCCCTTGTGGAGACTTAGCCTTCTCTAGGCTTCTATTCAGAAATGACAGACTCTGCCTTCCAAAGCTCTCTTTAGAGGGAGAAAAAAGCATGTGAGCAGATAATAACAAGAAAAGGTGATATCTGCCATGACAGATTCAAGTACTGGAGGCATGGAAACACGGAGAAATACTCCATTCAGATTCTGCAAGGAGGTGAGATCAGGGAAGACCTCCTGGAGGAAGTGACTTTAATTCTGAGGCTTCAGGCTTGAAGACACAGAAGTGTGAAATAGTGTTTGTCCAGAAAAACAAAAATAGCTTGATATTGCTTAGGGGTGGTATTGAGAGATGAGGTGGCTGGGATCAACCTGGAAAGCGTTTTAGGCCAGGCAGGGAGCTGGGTCTTCACTCTGGAGGTG